CTGCTCAGATGTCACTATAATGTACTTTTAATGGTTTTAGATGGGATTCAAATTTATAGGATAGTGTCTAGAATCACGGTGGCTCCAGAGAAAACACTGGGTCTTTAGAAACCTAAGCAATAACTTACTCGTAACTAGTTTATCGTTTTCCCGTCAATTGTGCGCCGCGAAATGCTTAACGAGAATGTGATTTCCTTTGGATCTTAAAATCAGTACCATACAAAAAACAGTTTGTTACAGAAAGTATATCATTATTCTAATTAAAGCATGGTTATACCCATCTTCAGCTAAATCCATAAGCATATATACTGTATATACGTGTCGGCAAATGCACGTACATATTTTCTTGCTTTTCAATGAACTATGGATTAAGCATGTCGCTCTCTTTTAGCGCATCAGGATCAAAAATATAACTTCTCAGCACAGAATCACTCCATTATAATCATCACCCTAGAAACATCCAAAAACTCTAGAAGCCTGGGTCGATTTAATTTTAGCACCTGGGGTGAGGGAAAATATTTGTAGCTGAGAACAAATATACCGGTTCAATTTCTTATGCACGCTCTTAGTGAGCACGGATTATGAAATGTCTCCATTCCTCCGGTACCGGGGATAAGTAAATGTCAACCCTTTCATGGCTTGTTTGAAGACAAGAAGTAAGCGAAACCAAAAGCAGAGCTATTACCGGGGGTATAAATTCGCGTGACCTAATGCCATAAAACAAATGGTGTGGGTGACCTGCTCTGATTTTTCCGGGAGAGGGCTCTCAGACTCCATAAAGTATTTTAATGCTTGTCTAACAGAGAGGCTGACAGGTTTACGGGCTTACATCTTGTTCTAACCATTTAGCTCCATCGTCCGTTAACTTATGGGACTCTGGCATTGCGTGTATAGGTCCAGCCGTTTCTTTAAATGTACATGCATGTTACTCGTTCATTTCTGCATTGCAAAAGTATCCAACCATTAACTATATACTATATACATGAGCTTAACTATTAGGCATGTAGATTAGAACACAGCCATGAAATGTACTTATCGGGATTGAAGGATCGATTCTGCCCTTTACGAAAGGTCTGCTTGTCGTGTGTTCTGAAGAAAGTGGTGGCGCGATAGTCAGCAGTTTACCTGTCGGCGTTGACAAGCACCCACGCGCATAGGCACGCGAAGATTCGTGTCCATTTAAAGGTTAACTCACGCGTGCATTTACATGTTAAACTAAAACGAGTCGCTTAAAATAATACAAAACACATTAATAGCGAGTTATACTTAAATGCCTAACAGGTTAAATAATGAGTTATACCTAAACGCTTAACTTCAAAATTTAACAAAAAAAAAACCCCATAATGTCCCATATTTCTCAAATGTCCGCTGAACATTCGCCTTTAACAATACTTCAAAACCAATATCCATAACCAAAAGAAAAAACGTCCAATACAAATGAATCTAACATATGATTATTGAACCAAACCGTCTAGTCACATTGATCAAAATTAAGGGATTAATCATGGATGTCTTTTTCTGAAAGTCAACTTCATTAATTCCCTATATGCTGTCATTAATAGTATTTCTATGCGTAGGCTAATTCTTTATCGATAAATACAAAAGCGGCATTAACTTTAATTGTATTACTTCGCGTCAAAACTCAAAGAACTTTCAGATATTAAAAAGCTGAAATTAACCTTTGGATAGACACTTCGACACTGATATACAAATTGGTTGAATAAGCTCTATTTATTTTGACTTAGTCAGTTCTGCAAATGGTTCTCTTTGAAGTTTTTGGCAAAGTAAGGTTCTAGGTATTGTGTTAAAGCAGTAGCGTTAGAATCAAATAGCTCTTCCCTGCATATCTCTTCATCTCTTCTTATTACATTAAGCACACATATCATACATCATTAATAACGTTCGAAATGATATAAAAACTATTGGTCTTATGGGAAATTTCCTGGTGCAAACAAACAGACTTGCTTGGTGGTGAAAAGTTATTTATCATAGCAAAAGTATATCTAAAGATATCTTGAAAAGATTGAAAAGAAATGAAACAAGCTACTGTGTAAACTTCTATGGCAATAACACATGAAACACGTTGACAGAAATGAATTGTTAGGCGTATTTGTTCCCAATTAAGCAGTAATTTGACCAATACTTTCAGCTGTGTGAAAGTGCCCAAAAATTGTGAAATAATACATTCAGAAACATACATACCTACTACCAAAACNCACATTTATTCCTTGACAATTGCGTTATCTTTGGCCAACACGCGTGGTTGTGTCATAATTTAACTACCGAACCCCTACGCCGCGTGCTGACTACCAATGTGGGGTGTATTCCAATACAAGAAGTACAGTATCTGGTATAAAACGAAACCGCAGATAATGGCACCCAAGTGATTTTACATGTATGCGCGTCTCATGTCAGTTTGCGATCTCCTAGCTGTATCAGGTACCGCCGATGCGTCTGTAGATTGAGAAAAGCTCCCCTCATTGGAGGCAACGTATTGAATAAACTTGCAACATTAGTACCCGATGCGACTAAACTGTGGAATAAACGCAGGGGGATTAACACGAAACGTTTTTTGTTCTGCTCAGATGTCACTATAATGTACTTTTAATGGTTTTAGATGGGATTCAAATTTATAGGATAGTGTCTAGAATCACGGTGGCTCCAGAGAAAACACTGGGTCTTTAGAAACCTAAGCAATAACTTACTCGTAACTAGTTTATCGTTTTCCCGTCAATTGTGCGCCGCGAAATGCTTAACGAGAATGTGATTTCCTTTGGATCTTAAAATCAGTACCATACAAAAAACAGTTTGTTACAGAAAGTATATCATTATTCTAATTAAAGCATGGTTATACCCATCTTCAGCTAAATCCATAAGCATATATACTGTATATACGTGTCGGCAAATGCACGTACATATTATCTTGCTTTTCAATGAACTATGGATTAAGCATGTCGCTCTCTTTTAGCGCATCAGGATAAAAAATATAACTTCTCAGCACAGAATCACTCCATTATAATCATCACCCTAGAAACATCCAAAAACTCTAGAAGCCTGGGTCGATTTAATTTTAGCACCTGGGGTGAGGGAAAATATTTGTAGCTGAGAACAAATATACCGGTTCAATTTCTTATGCACGCTCTTAGTGAGCACGGATTATGAAATGTCTCCATTCCTCCGGTACCGGGGATAAGTAAATGTCAACCCTTTCATGGCTTGTTTGAAGACAAGAAGTAAGCGAAACCAAAAGCAGAGCTATTACCGGGGGTATAAATTCGCGTGACCTAATGCCATAAAACAAATGGTGTGGGTGACCTGCTCTGATTTTTTCCGGGAGAGGGCTCTCAGACTCCATAAAGTCTTTTAATTCTTGTCTAACAGAGAGGCTGACAGGTTTACGGGCTTACATCTTGTTCCAACCATTTATCTCCATCGTCCGTTTACTTGTGGGACTCTGGTATTGCGTGTATAGGTCCAGCCGTTTCTTTAAATGTACATGCATGTTACTCGTTCATTTCTGCATTGCAAAAGTATCTAACCATTAACTATACACTATATACATGAGCTTAACTATTAGGCATGTAGATTAGAACACAGCCATGAAATGTACTTATCGGGATTGAAGGATCGATTCTGCCCTTTACGAAAGGTCTGCTTGTCGTGTGTTCTGAAGAAAGTGGTGGCGCGATAGTCAGCAGTTTACCTGTCGGCGTTGACAAGCACCCACGCGCAGAGGCACGCGAAGATTCGTGTCCATTTAAATGTTAACTCACGCGTGCATTTACATGTTTAACTAAAACGAGTCGCTTAAAATAATACAAAACACATTAATAGCGAGTTATACTTAAATGCCTAACATGTTAAATAATGAGTTATACCTAAACGCTTAACTTCAAAATTTAACAACAACAAAAAAAAACCATAATGTCCCATATTTCTCAAATGTCCGCTGAACATTCGCCTTTAACAATACTTCAAAACCAATATCCATAACCAAAAGAAAAAACGTCCAATAGAAATGAATCTAACATATGATTATTGAACCAAACCGTCTAGTCACATTGATCAAAATTAAGGGATTAATCATGGATGTCTTTTTCTGAAAGTCAACTTCATTAATTCCCTATATGCTGTCATTAATAGTATTTCTATGCGTAGGCTAATTCTTTATCGATAAATACAAAAGCGGCATTAACTTTAATTGTATTACTTCGCGTCAAAACTCAAAGAACTTTCAGATATTAAAAAGCTGAAATTAACCTTTGGATAGACACATCGACACTGATATACAAATTGGTTGAATAAGCTCTATTTATTTTGACTTATTCAGTTCTGCAAATGGTTCTCTTTGAAGTTTTTGGCAAAGTAAGGTTCTAGGTATTGTGTTAAAGCAGTAGCGTTAGAACCAATAGCTCTTCCCTGCATATCTCTTCATCTCTTCTTATTACATTAAGCACACATATCATACATCATTAATAACGTTCGAAATGATATAAAAACTATTGGTCTTATGGGAAATTTCCTGGTGCAAACAAACAGACTTGCTTGGTGGTGAAAAGTTATTTATCATAGCAAAAGTATATCTAAAGATATCTTGAAAAGATTGAAAAGAAATGAAACAAGCTACTGTGTAAACTTCTATGGCAATAACACATGAAACACGTTGACAGAAATGAATTGTTAGGCGTATTTGTTCCCAATTAAGCAGTAATTTGACCAATACTTTCAGCTGTGTGAAAGTGCCCAAAAATTGTGAAATAATACATTCAGAAACATACATACCTACTACCAAAAAAAATATTTTAATTGGTTGCTGAGATACATCCATGTTTTACCGAAAATTATATGATGCAGGTGGAATATCTTCTATAGCGCGATGATTGCCCCCCCCCCCATTTTCTCTCTCTCTCTCTCTCTCTCTCTTTCTTCTCTCTCTCTCTCTCTCTCTCTCTCTCTCTCTCTCTCTCTCTCATTAATAAGGAATATCGTGATTAACTTACCTGCAATCCACGCTGCCGGTGCCTTTACTCAATAATAAAACCAGGAATAATGTCGTTAAGATGAGGTTCGCTATCCGATGCATACCTGGAATGTAGAACATACAGTGCAAGGCATTACAATAAATGGAATATTTCTTTTAACAATGCCAATAATGAATATCGGTAGTCTAGCAATTATCCCTGCAAATGATCATTAAACAAAGAAAAACACCAAGAAGCCATCCTAAACGTTTCTGCTTTACGAAATAAGGCATCGCCATGCTTTGATATACGTCAGATTTTGAAAAGCCAACAAACTTATTTGGAAGATCTAATTCCAGAGACGCTTAAAACTCGGCAAAAGCGGAAAGGCACGGTTTGTTGCCAAAGACATATCACCCAAAACAAAATGTTACACACAGTTTTCAGTACTCTTCAGATATTCCAACAGAGAATATATATACGACATCTTGTCAGAAGCATAGATAACGTCGAAGTGTTTGTTGCCGTCCGTTCTGAACTGTATTGAGAGCAGAACCGCAGACAGACCTAAATGTCAACAACAACTGAATCCTTTGTGTGCCGAAAGGCCTGGATGCAATTACGAAGCATTGTGAAACCTCCAAAAAGCGGTGACCAATCTTTTGTTGATTGGATACAAATACGAGGCGCACTGACTCCACATGTGAATGCCAGAACTGTTTTAATTGCTTGTTCTCGTCTTACAAACTTCTGTAATTTCAAAGCAACTTATGTAGGGTTCGATGACGTTGCCCTTCACTCATTAAGGGCTTCGCATTTGTCAATAAATATATCAAATTCAATAAAGCCATTATTCTAAGGACATTAAGTTTTACGGGGTGTATACAAACTGTCTATGGCACATCAATTGGTATAAAACAATCATCAATCAGACATTTTGAACCAATGCCAAAAAAGGCATAAACATCCACCTTGAAATTACTAGACTGGAAAATATACTTCATGTTGTACTTTTCGCCTGCACAGATTACCTGTTCGCTTCCTCTGAGATCTAGGTTTATGGTCAATTTTTACTGCTTGATCATTCACACTCAGAATAGCTGTTTATTTTTTCGCTGTTCTTATATTTAACGCTTGCCCACTCGCAGGATGGAGATGTCACTATAAAAAGAGGCATCGGCATTAAGTCCAACAATAACTTAAAGTGCCTATATATTTTAGATAAACAAGGGATCTATAAATCACCCCCATGGGACAGCTCAGATACATTAAATTTGATCAAGCAATCACCAAAAGGAGAATACGAATAGGCGGGACACAATATCCACAAAGACAATATATTATATGATTCATCTGGCTTTAAAAAATAATTAAGACAAGTCTTAACAATGCAGTAATCCCGAAATACAATCCTCTAAGAACGATGACACATCAACAGGAGAAGTCGCAAACACGCAAAACTCATAGGGAAACTTTCGGGTTTTTTGACACATCGCACATCTCAAAAACAATCAGAATTTTATTATCAAACACTCTTCAAATGTTGACTTCGGGGAAAACACTCAGAATCGAATATATCTCATCGACAGTTCACTTCTATAAGGGAAGGAACCAGCAATAAAGTCAACGTACAATGTACGACAAAATCAGAAAGCCGTGTAAGTATGTAAGAAGGCCAGATATAGAAAACTGAAGTCATCATTATCACTTCTTGGTTAACTAGAAATGTTTTTTTTTTTTTTTTTTTTGAAAATGAAAAACATCCCTAAATCCATACATCAGAAAGTGCAGGGTGGGCAAAAGCCGTGACATATGGCTAGTATGTACACACTTCGCTCCGCACAGCTTTCATTTGACAATTCAAAATCCAAAGAATTCACATATCTACCTGCTCCATGTAAAATGATTAATGGGAAACCTAAAAGTGAAATAGCCTATCGCTTACAATAACCTTAATGAACACAATAAATACCTGTCTTCAATTACTTAACCAGGCAGACGTTAGTTTGCGTGACTCCGGGCAGTGCACCTCTGACACGGTTTCCGTTATTAATCACTCATCCGTAAGAATACCCCTGTCAGCCTAATCAAACAGAGCAGCTGGTTTCGATTTAAGTGTTTCCTCCGGGAAACTCTCAAAGGACTTTCTTGCACGCTCAACAAATTACAAACGAACATGATGAATGGCGAGGACAGTTGCACGGCGAAAAAGTTTGTTCGGCGAAATGTGCTGAAAGGTGTTGTTATGGTTGTTGAATGTTATTGCATTTCGCTCTCTGGAGACTTTGTGGGAGACATGCCGTAAGAGACACTTACTAGCTCGGCGGAAGTCCGAATTGAGTGGCTAGAATTACTGATGCAAACTCTGCTCTGGAAATTCTGTATTTATAGCAGCGCGTCTTTTTTTAAGAGCTACTTCTATTCACTTCTGTTCGTTTCTGTTACTCCATCCATTTTATGTAATATAATCAGAGACGCGCATTATCTGTTGCTTTGAAGTTTGACTCCTTGGTGTTAAACAAGAGAAAAACACTGACTTAGAATAGAAGTATTCTGTATTTGCCATCTTTTTATCACAGCGGTGACTTCACACACACATAAATACATTCATACATACATTCCTGGCGTAACCCGTTTAGTTACAAGGGCAACAGATCCTTCCTCAGAATACAGGCTAGTATTTACGTCTTAGATTTACACAGAAAAGAACTTTTCAAACACGTGGCACATTACACATGTCCCAAAAGTTTCGTGCAGATTCATTTCTTTTTAAAGTGATTACACGAGCAGGACGTTCAAGGTGTTAACAAGAGAACAATGACCTCTTAATTTAGACATTTACATGCGTGCATGAGATCATTATTTCTAGAAGCATTAAACACTTTTTAGTAGAGTGAAATCTAGATATCTTTTGGGAATCCTCAAACATGTTTTGTATATTTTATGATTGGATGACTTTTTCATTCGATTGCAACTTTCTGTGATTTAAATTGTGATAAGCATACACAAGACATTATTATTATTATTATTATTATTATTATTATTATTATTACCAAACTTGCAACCCGAGGGTTGGATAATTACAATCATTGCATCATAGTTGAATAAAACCAATAGTGAGTAAGAATAAAGGGATATTAAAAGGCATATGCAAACAAATTTAAAACAAAAATAACTAAAAAATATACTAATATACTATATTATCCAGTCGCTGGATAAATTGAGCTCTCAAAAAAGGACAAAGATGTATACCATTGATATCACCGCCATACACTGCAGGCAAAGCGTTAACAGAAAAAAATACGAGTTGAAAATACCTGTACTAGAACAAATATATTAATTTCTATTGATATCTTTAGGAATCCTCTCACAATTTTAAAGATTTCACGATAACTAGATGTTTTCATGGGATTTCAATCCCCCTTTAATAAGTGGCTTTTGACATACTTTATATCTCATACAACCGTTAAACTGATATCCCTGTAGCTTGACATAGGGCATCTGTAAGTAGCTTTTTCAAAACAGAATAAAACAATGGCGATGGTATCACCATAAAGTGTTGTTCAGATATTAATGCCAAATATTTTTCAATAGTGGCTAGTGTCACGTGCGGAGTTCATGCATGTAAAACACTGTATAGAATCAATTTCAGATTAAATTGCATTAGACCACATTTTGATTTAAAGCCCAACCCGGATATAAGACATTTGACTGTTTTGCAAAGTCCCAGTTTACAGTTAATCAGGAAATGAAGATTTGAAAGGTGTGACTGTATTTTCTGTGTCTCACTCATCACCTACTCGAGCACGCATTGCCACACTACTAGCGGGTTGGTCTTCCTAATTCACAGCTGCAGTGTTACCTCAAACTTATTCCGGCAGGCCTTCCAATAAAACCGCCGGCACTGGGGTACAGGCCTTCTTTTTGAAGCGCCATTACATAAACAGTGCACTATCATAATAAAACCATTTAAAGCCCAACCCGGATTTAAGACATGTGACTGTCTTGCAAAGTCCCAGTTTACATTTTATCAGGAAATGAAGATTTAAAAGGTGTGACTGTACTCATCACCTCCTCGAGCACACAATGCCACACTACTGACGGGTTGGTCTTCCTGATTCACAGCTGCAGTGTTACCTCAAACTTATTCCGGCAGGCTTTCCAATAAAACTGCAGTCACTGGGGTACAGGCTTCCTTTCTGAAGCGCTATTACACAAACAGTGCACTATCATAATAAAACCATCGCCTTCTTTAATTAACACTAACCTCCCCATGCGCTTATCGCAACACATAAATGACGTTTGTTAATCTTCCGATACCGTGCTGGTGATGGCACTGATATAATCCTAGCACGGTGCCTATGGTGCGCCAATCAAAGAGACTTAAGCTTTCCCCAGTGGTAAACTGTTTCAGGGATGGGTAATACTGGTGATACACGCAAACCCTCAACCGAAGAAAAAAAGTTATCCCAGTACTGTGCTGAATTTCATACTGGGGCATAATAAAAAAAAAGTTATGTTGATAGCATTGTNTATCATAATAAAACCATCGCCTTCTTTAATTAACACTAACCTCCCCATGCGCTTATCGCAACACATAAATGACGTTTGTTAATCTTCCGATACCGTGCTGGTGATGGCACTGATGTAATCCTAGCACGGTGCCTATGGTGCGCCAATCAAAGAGACTTAAGCTTTCCCCAGTGGTAAACTGTTTCAGGGATGGGTAATACTGGTGATACACGCAAACCCTCAACCGAAGAAAAAAAGTTATCCCAGTACTGTGCTGAATTTCATACTGGGGCATAATAAAAAAAAAAGATTATGTTGATAGCATTGTAACAGCACTGAAAATGATAATATGTCCCACAAAAAATACTCAAAATAGTTTGAATTCCATTTCTAATTTAGCAGACAATTTACAATCTAGATGATAATGCACCTATTCTACATCGGTTTCTGGTACGACAGGAATGGTAGTCCGCTAGGAATCGTAGTCCACTCCGCATAACTTTGCACAGGTGACATTCGTCCCATATACTAACCCAATACTCCAACTAACCCTAACCTGTATTTATCATATGGCACCCCAGACGTCCATTCCTAGGACTACCATTCCTGTCA